CAAAAGCCTAAACATAACAACCCCCATAACCCTATCCATCCATCCATGCATGCAACCATCAATCATTCAACTATCCACCCAACTATCCATCCATCCATCTATCCATCCTTCCACCCAGCCAGCCAAATACTCATCCATCCATTCATGTCCAAGGGGCCACGGCTGGTGCCAGAGCCCCCTCACCTGTGACAGTGTCGGTGGAGACGGGGCCCAGGCGTGTGCGACCCCACAGCCCGTACAGGTTGAACTTGTAGCGGCGGGACGGGGACAGCCCCGGCAGCGTCAGCGTGCGGGAACCCCCGTCCACGGGCAGCACCTGGGGCTGGCCTTGTGCATCGCGGTACTGCAGCGTGAAGGAGTCAAAGGTGCCCTCGGGGACGCTCCACTCCAGCTGCACCGAGTCCGAAGTGATGTTGGACGCCGTGAGCTCACCCAGGCGAGGTTTGATTGGTGGCTTCTTCTCCTGTGGAGCTGGGGCTGCAATGGAGAGGCCACAATGTGGCTAATGACCATCTGCATGACCATCCATGCAGCCAGCCAGCCACTCCCAATCATACATCACCCAACTACCCACCGCACAATCATCCAAACCCATCACTCATCCAATATTCCTGCCTTCCATGTCAATATCCCACCGTTCCTCTTACCTCACATGTTCCCACCTCCCCAAACACAGGGAGAGATATTCCTCCCATATCCCTCAGTCTCAAGGGACCTTCCAAGGCTCTTTAGCTTCCCTATACCTACTGCCTGCACAGGACAGGGATGTCCTCACCTGTAATGGTGTCGGTGGAGATGACACCAACCCGCTTCCGTCCCCACACACCGTACAGGTTGAACTTGTAGCGTCGTGACGGGGACAGCCCTGACACTGTGACCGTGCGGGAGCCACCATCAACTGCAAGTGCCTGAGGTTGGCCTTGAGCATCCCGGTACTGCACTGTGAAGGAGTCAAAGGTGCCCTCAGGGACGCTCCACTCCAGCTGCACGGAGCTGGGGGTGACGTTGGAGACCCTGAGCTCGCCCAGGCGCGGCTTGGTTGGTGTCTCCTCCGATGGTGGGGCCGGCTCTGCTGTGGGATGGTCGATGAAGAATGTGAACATCCACCCACCCCTGCATCCTTCAGCATTGGTCCATCCCCAGGTCTGCTCATGCACCCTCCAATGCCAGCACCCGTCCATCCTTCCATTGATACAAGTGGGTCATGGTGCCACCCATCCAACTGTCCATTCCTGCTGGTGTTTGTCCTTTGTTCCTTAATTATCTGTCCTTTCATGTAACCAATACAGAATTCCAGGTTTCTGTCCATTGAATGACCTGGTTTTCCAGTCAGTTCTCCTTCCATCAGCCTTTGAATCAACCCACCCAGTTTCCAACTTGCCATCCACCTACCCAACCATCCATCCCTCTTTGAATCCATCCAGCCATCACCCAACCACCCGTCCATTCCTCTATCCATCCACCCATTCACCACCTCCTCCACATATTCAACTTCCCATAGAATCATGGAATGGTTTGGGTTGGAAGGGTTCTCTTAAAGCTTATCCAGTTCCAACTTCCACCGTGGACAGGGACACCTTCCACTAGAGCAGGTTACTCAAAACCCTGCTTATACAACCCATTCCAATGTCTCACCACTCTCACAGTGAAGAACTCTCCAATCTCCCATCAAACTCTTCCCTCTTCCAGTTGGAAGCTGTTACTCCTTGTCCCACCCCTATACGCTGCTTTAGAAGCAGCTCTCCAGGTTTCCTGCAGCCCCTTTAGGCACTGGAGATGTTCTAAGGTCTCCTCTTAAGGAGCTTTCTCTTTTCCAGGGTGACCCAGCCCAGCTCTCTCATCCTGGCTCCAGAGGAGAGCTGCTCCAGCCCTCAAAGTGTCTCCATGGCCTCCTCTGGACACACACCAACAGCTCCGTGTCCATCTTGTGTCTTTCATATATATCCATCATCCATCCATCCATCATCAATCCATTCATCCATCCATCCATTCATCTTTTATCCATCCATCCATCACCCATCCATCCATCCATCACCCATCCATGCATCCATCCATCCGTCCATGCATCCATCCATCCGTCCATGCGTGCATCCATGCATCCATGCATCAATCCATTCATCCATCCATCCATTCATCTTCCATCCATCCATCACCCATCCATGCATCCATCATCAATCCATGCATCCATGCATCCATCCATGAATGCATCCATCTATCCATCCATCCATCCATCCATCCATCCATTCATCTTCCATCCATCCATCCATCTTCCATCCATCCATCCCTCATCCATGCGTGCATCCATCCATCCATGCATGCACCCATGCATGCATCCATGCATCCATCCATTCATGCACCCATCCATTCACCCATCCATCCATCCATCCTTCCCTCCCTCCATCCACCCGTCCCACCACCACCAACTTGTCTCCCAAGAGCAGCTCAGCCTGGACACCCGAGTCTCCCTCATTGTCCCCATGGACACTTGGTACCTTCTTTGGCCGGGGCTCCTTGGGGCTCCGTCGGCTCCATCTCGTACATCTGCTCCCAGCCCAGCGGCGGCTCCTCGGTGCCTCCCACCCCTGCAGCAGGGTTGCAGCGGGTGGTTATGGGGTGCCCCCGTTCCCCCCTGTGCCTGTCTCCGTTCCCATCACCCACCTGCTGTCACCAGGAACGTGTAGGACTTGGAGACGTGGCCCCGCACCAGCCCGTGCACCTCCACCCGGTACCTGGCCCCCGGCACCAGCCCCGGCACCCGCGCCAGCGCCGCGTCCCCCGGCACCCGCAGCTCCCCCTCGGCCCCCTCGGGCTCTTCCAGGAGCCGGTACCGGATCACCACGGTCTCCGCGTGGCCCCGCAGCCCCTCCAGGTCCACCAGAGCCTCCCCGGCAGCCCCCGGCATCAAGTGGGGCTTGGGATGGGGCAGCTGCTGCAGGAGCTGGTGCCGGAGCGCGGCCGGGCTGCGGCGCAGGAGGTACGAGAGGATGGCCCTGGCCACCGCGGGCACCGTCTGGTTGCCCCGCAGGGGGAAGTTGGTGGCCCGGAGGTGGCTCTCCAGGCGCTGCAGCAAGGAGCCGTTGTAGGAGGCAAGCTTGGCCCCCAGGTCATGCAGGGATGGGCCCCCAGGGAGCCCTGGGGACCACGGGGCTGGAGGTGACACGGGGGCCTGTGGTAGCGCTGGGGACTCCGGGGACACTGGGGCCGATGGGGACCCCGGTGACCTCGCAGATGCTGGGGACCCTCGAGGCACTGGGGCCGCTGGAAGCCTTGGCGATGCTGGCAGGGACCCCAAAGACCCCGGTGAGGCCAAGGGTGCATCCGGTGACGCCGGTGAGCCCGGGGATGCTGCTGGCGCCGGGGACCTCGGGGTTGGCGGGGACGCAATCGGTGGCACCGGGGACCCTCCGTGACGGGGCAGGGTCTGGGCAAGCTCTGTGAGAGCAAAGAGGGGACATGGGGATGGGAGGGCACGGAGGGGTACGGGGACAGACGGATGCATGGGGGCAGACCCATGGGGGCAGAATGGAGACAAACGGGGACAGATGGGAGACATCCGGATGCAGCAAGAGAGGGATGGAGGGGGAAGCAGCAGGAGATGTGGGGACACGTGGAGACATGAGGACGTATGCACCCATAGGGACAGAGGAGCCCGTGGGGACACACAGACCCATGGGGACAGAGGGGCCAGCGGGGTCACATGCAGCCATGGGGACACACAAGCCCATGGGGACGCAGGGACCCATGGGACAGACAGCAGGGACCCGCCGAGCCATTGGGACACATGGACATGTGGGGACAGACAGAGGCGGCTGCACCTCCTATCCCATCCCTCTCCCATCCCTGTCCCCATTCCTATCCCTGTCCCCATCCCTGTCCCCATCCCTGTCCCCACCCCTGTCCCCATCCCTGTCCCCACCCCTGTCCCCATCCCTGTCCCCATCCCTGTCACCACCCCTGTCCCTATCCCTGTCCCTATCCCTGTCCCCATCCCTGTCACCATCCCTGTCCCCACCCCTGTCCCCATCCCTGTCCCTATCCCTGTCCCCATCCCTGTCCCCATCCCTGTCACCACCCCTGTCCCTATCCCTGTCCCCACCCCTGTCCCCATCCCTGTCCCCACCCCTGTCCCCATCCCTGTCCCTATCCCTGTCCCCACCCCTGTCCCCATCCCTGTCCCCACCCCTGTCCCCATCCCTGTCCCTATCCCTGTCCCCATCCCTGTCCCCATCCCTGTCACCACCCCTGTCCCTATCCCTGTCCCCATCCCTGTCACCATCCCTGTCCCCACCCCTGTCCCTATCCCTGTCACCATCCCTGTCACCACCCCTGTCCCTAACCCTGTCACCATCCCTGTCCCTATCCCTGTTCTCGTCCCTGTCCCCATCCCTGTCCCTATCCCTGTCCCCATCCCTGTCACCATCCCTGTCACCATCCCTGTCCCTATCCCTGTTCTCATCCCTGTCCCCATCCCTGTCCCATCCCTGTCCCATCCCTGTCCCCATCCCCATCCCCATCCCCATCCCCATCCCCATGCTGCTGCCACCCCATACCCCCCATGTCCCCATGACTGTTGTCATCGCCTGCTCCCCCCACAGTGATCCCCCAATGTCCCCGTGTCCCCATATCCCAGTGTCCCAATGTCCCCCGTGTCCCAAATATCCCCATGTCAGCCTGTCCCCATGTTCCCACATCCCCATATCCCCATGTTTTAACATCCCCATATCCCCATGTCCCCCTGTCCCCATGTCCCCATATCCCCATGTCCCCATATCCCTGTATCCCTGTATCCTCATATCTCAATATCCCCATGTCCCATATCCCCACATCCCTATATCCCTCTATCCCCATCTCTCCATGTCCCTATATCCCTGTACCCTATATCTCAGTACCCCCATGTCCCCATATCCCCATGTCCCTATATCCCCATATCCCTCTATCCCCATGCCCCCATATCCCCATGTCCCCCATATCTCCATATCCTCATGTCCCCATATCCCCACAACCCCATGTCCCCATATACCCAGATCCCATTGTCACCACATCCCATTGTCCCCCATTGTCCCCATTGTCCCCTATGTCTCCACATCCCCACATCCCATTGCTCCATGTCCCACTGTCCCCACATCCCATTGTCCCCACATCCCATTGTCCGCCCATTGTCCCCATTGTTCCCCAAATCCCATTGTCCCCCATTGTTCCCCACATATCATTGTCTCCCATTGTTCCCCACATCCCATTGTCCCCATTGTCTCCATTGTCCCCACTGTGTTCCCATTGTCCCCATTGTCCCCCATTGTGTCCCCATTGTCCCAATTGTCCCTATTGTGTCCCCATTGTCCTCCACTATCCCCATTGTCCCCATTGTCCACATTGTTCCTCACACCCCATTGTCCCCTTTGTCCCCCATTGTCCCCATTGTCTCCATTGTTCCCATTGTCCCCCATTGTTCCTCACACCCCATTGTCCCCATTGTGTTCCCATTGTCCCCCATTGTCCCCCCATTGTCCCCATTGTCCCAATTGTCCCTATTGTGTCCCCATTGTCCCCCATTGTCCCCATTGTCCACCACACCCCGTTGTCCCCATTGTCCCCATTGTTCCCCACACCCCATTGTCCCATCATTGTCCCCACCATCCCCATTGACCCCACTGTCCCCATTGTCCCCAAGTGTCCCCATTCTCCCCATTGTCCCCCATTCTCCCCTTTGTCCCCATTGCCCCATTGTCCCCCAGTGTCCCCATTGTCCCCATTGCCCTCCATTGTCCCCATTGTCTCCCCATTGTCCCCCACATCCCATTGTCCCCATTGTCTCCCCATTGTCCCACGTTGTCCCGCATTGTCCCCACTGTCCCCCATTGTCCCCATTGTCCCCATTGCCCCCCATTGCCCCCCATTGCGCCCCACTGTCCCCATTGTCCCCATTCTCCCCACTGTCCCCATTGTCCCCATTGCCCCCGTTGTCCCCATTGTTCCCCACACCCCATTGTCCCCCCATTGTCCCCACTATCCCCATTGACCCCACTGCCCCCATTGTCCCCATTGTCCCAACTGCCCCCATTGCCCCCATTGTCCCCCAGTGTCCCCATTCACCCCATTGTCCCCATTGTCCCCACATCTCATTGCCCCCCCATTGTCCCCATTGTCCCCCATTGTCCCCATTGTTCCCCACATCCCATTGTCCCCATTGCCCCCCATTGTGTCCCCATTGTTCCTCACACCCCATTGTCCCTATTGTCTCCCCATTGCCCCCCATTGTCCCCATTGTTCCTCACACCTCATTGTCCCCCACACCCCATTGTCTCCCCATTGCTCCCCATTGTGTCCCCATTATTCCTCACACCCCATTGTCCCCATTGTCCCCATTGTCTCCCCATTGTCCCCATTGTCCCCATTTTCCCCCATTGTCCCCATTGTCCTCCATTATCCCCATTGTCCCCATTGTCCGCATTGTTCCTCACACCCCATTGCCCCTGTTGTCCCCATTGTCACCATTGTTCCCATTGTCCCCCATTGTTCCTCACACCCCATTGTCCCCATTGTTCCTCACACCCCATTGTCCCCATTGTCCCCATTGTTCCTCACACCCCATTGTCCCCATTGTCCCCATTGTTCCTCACACCCCATTGTCCCCATTGTCCCCATTGTTCCTCACACCCCATTGTCCCCATTGTCCCCACTGTTCCTCACACCCCATTGTCCCCATTGTCCCCATTGTCCCCCTTATCCCCCATTGTCCCCATTGTCCCCATTGTCCCCATTGTCCCCATTGTCCCCATTGTCTCCCCATTGTCCCCATTGTCTCCCCATTGTCCCCATTGTCTCCATTGTGCCCCACTCACGGGTTCGCAGGCGCAGGGTCCCCGCTGGGCCCAGCTCCCCCCGTGTCCTCGCCTGCACGCGGAGCTCGAAGCTGCTGCCGGGCTCCAGCCCCGAGGCCTCGAACGTGAGCGCGGAGCCGGGCAGGTCCTGGGAGAGCGCGGAGCCGGGGTCGTCCTGGGGACAGGGGGAGCCATGGGGGGGGTTAATGGGGGGTAATGGGCGATAATGGGGTGTAATGGGGTGCTAATGGGGTGCTAATGGGGTGTAATGGGGGGTAATGGGGTGTAATGGGGTGTAATGGGGTGTAATGGGGGATAATGGGGTGTAATGGGGGATAATGGGGGTGTAATGGGTTGTTAATGGGATGTAATGGGGGATAATGGGGGTGTAATGGGGGTGTAATGGGGCGTAATGGGCGATAATGGGGTGTAATGGGGTGTAATGGTGTGTTAATGGGGGATAATGGGGGTGTAATGGGGTGTAATGGGGTGTTAATGGGGTGTAATGGGCGATAATGGGGTGTAATGGGGTGTTAATGGGGTGTAATGGGGTGTTAATGGGGTGTGATGGGCGATAATGGGGTGTAATGGGGTGTTAATGGGGTGTAATGGGCGATAATGGGGTGTAATGGGGTGTTAATAGGGTGTAATGGGGTGTAATGGGGTGTTAATGGGGTGTAATGGGCGATAATGGGGTGTAATGGGGTGTTAATGGGGTGTAATGGGGGATAATGGGGGTGTAATGGGGTGTTAATGGGGTGTAATAGGGGGTAATGGGGTGTAATGGGGGATAATGGGGTGTAATGGGGTGTTAATAGGGTGTAATGGGGTGTTAATGGGGGATAATGGGGGTGTAATGGGGTGTAACGGGGTTGTAAGGGGGTGTTAATGGTGTGTAATGGGGTGTAATGGGGTGTTAATGGGGTGTAATGGGGAGTTAATGGAGTGTAATGGGGTGTAATGGGGTTGTAATGGGGGATAATGTGTGGTAATGGGATGCAATGGGGTGGTAATGGGGTGTAATGGGGGATAATGGGGTGTTTATGGGGTGTAATGGTGGTGTAATGGGGTGTAATGGTGTTAATGGGGGTTACTGGGGTGTACTGGGGGTGTAATGGGGTGTAATGGGGGTACTGGGGTGTAATGGGGTGTTAATGGGGTGCAATGGGGTGTTAATGGGGCATTAATGGGGTGTAATGGTGGTGTAGTGGGGGGTGGTACTGGAGTGTAATGGCGGTGTAATGGGGTGTTAATGGGGTGTAATGGGGTGTTAATGGGGCATTAATGGGGTGTAACGGTGGTGTAGTGGGGGGTGGTACTGGAGTGTAATGGCGGTGTAATGGGGTGTTAATGGGGTGTAATGGAGTGTAATGAGGAATAAGGGGGTGTAATGGGGTTTAATGGCGGTACTGGGGTGTAATGGGGGTGTAACGGGGTGTTAATGGGGTGCAATGGGGTGTTAATGGGGTGTAATGGCGTGTTAATGTGGTGTAATGGTGGTGCAGGGGTGGTAATGGGATGTAATAGGGGCGTAACGGGGTGTTAATGGGGTGTAATGGGGTGCAAGGGGGTGTAAGGGGGTGTAATGTAGTGTAATGGGGTGTAATGGGGATGTAATGGGGTGTAATGGGGGGCTATGGAGGTGTCATGGGGTGCAATGAGGGTATAATGGGGGTACAATAGGAGTGTAGTGTGGGTGTAATGGGGTTTAGTGGGGGTGTAATGGGGGTGTAATGGGGTTTATTGGGGTGTAATGGGGATGAAACGGGGGTGCAGTGGGAGTGCTCTGGGGGCTCACTGGGGATGCACTGGGAACACTGGGGGTGCGCTGGGCGTGCACTGGGGATGTGATGGGATGCACTGGGGGTGCACTGGAGGAGCAATGGGGGTGCACTGGGGGTGCACTGGAGGTGCAATGGGGGTGCAATGGGGGTGCAATGGGGGTGCACTGGGGGTGCAAAGGGGGTGCAATGGAGATGCACTGGAGGTGCAATGGGGGTGCAATGGAGAGGCAATGGGGGTGCAATGGGGGTGCAATGGAGAGGCAATGGGGGTGCAATGGGGATACAATGGAGATGCAATGGGGATGCAATGGGGGTGCAATGGGGATGCACTGGGGGTGCAATGGAGATGCAATGGGGATGCAATGGGGGTGCAATGGAGATGCAATGGGGATGCAATAGGGGTGCAATGGAGATGCAATGGGGGTGCAATGGGGGTGCAATGGGGGTGCAATGGGGGTGCAATGGAGATGCAATGGGGGGCAATGGGGATGCACTGGGGATGCAATAGTGGTGCGCTGGGGATTCAATAGGGGTGCAATGGGGATGTACTGGAGATGCAATGGGGATGCAATAGGGGTGCAATGGGGATGCAATGGGGGTGCAATAGGGGTGCAATGGGGATGCACTGGGGATGCACTGGGGATGCAATAGGGGTGCAATGGGGGTGCAATGGGGATGCAATGGGGGTGCAATGGGGGTGCAATGGAGATGCTATGGGGATGCAATGCGGATGCTCTGGGGATGCAATAGGGGTGCAATGGGGTTGCAATAGGGGTGCAATAGAGATGCAATGGGGGTGCAATGGGGATGCAATGGGGGTGCAATAGGGGTGCAATGGGGATGCACTGGGGATGCACTGGGGATGCAATGGAGATGCTATGGGGATGCAATGCGGATGCTCTGGGGATGCAATAGGGGTGCAATGGGGATGCAATGGGGGTGCAATAGGGGTGCAATAGAGATGCAATGGGGTTGCAATGGGGATGCACTGGGGATGCAATGGGGGTGCAATGGAGATGCAATGCGGATGCAATGCGGATGCACTGGGGATGCAATAGGGGTGCACTGGGGATGCAATAGGGGTGCAATGGGGATGCAATAGGGGTGCAATGGGGATGCACTAGGGATGCGATGGGGGTGCAATGGAGATGCTATGGGGATGCAATGCGGGTGCAATAGGGATGCAATGGGGATGCAATGGGGATGCACTGGGGGTGCACTGTGGGTGCACTGGGGGTGCACTGGGGATGCAATAGGCGTGCAATGAAGATGCAATGGGGATGCACTGGGGTGCAATGGGGATGCAATAGGGGTGCAATGGAGATACAATAGGGGTGCCACGGGGATGCAATGCGGATGTAATGGGGATGCAATAGGGGTGCAATGGGGATGCATTGGGGATGTGATGGGATGCAATAGGGGTGCAATGGGGATGCATTAGGGATGTGATGGGATGCAATAGGGGTGCAATGGAGATGCAATGGGGGTGCAATGGGGATGTGATGGGGATGCAATAGGGGTGCAATGGGGATGCAATGGGGGTGCAATGGGGTGCAATGGAGATGCAATAGGGGTGCAATAGGGGTGCACTGGGGATGCAATGGGGATGCACTGGGGGTGCACTGGGGGTGCACTGAGGACGCACTGGGGAGCCCTGGCGCACGTCCCCCATGCAGACTTGGGGGGCCAAGGTGTCCTTAGATCGCCCCAGTGCCCATTGGGGCACCTTAAGGTCTCCCCCTGGTCCAGCAGCAGGGCCCATGGGTGCCACCCTGCACCCACAACCCTGGGGGTCCCCGTCCCCCCCCCCCCCCCCAATCCCCAACTCACCAGCGGCACCAGGGACACCCGGTACCCGTCCACCGGCAACGTCGGGGGGGGCCACGACACCCGCAAGGAAGAGGGGGTGCGGGAGAGCAAGCGGGGCCTCACCGAGGGGGGGGCTGTGGGGCGGGGGGGGGACATGGATCATTATGGGGGGCAGAAAAGGGGGGACAGGCACGGGATGGGGGCATTGAGGGATGGGGGCACCCATGGGATGAGGGCATTGAGGGATGGGGGCACCAATGGGATGGGGGCATTATGAGATGGGGGCACCCATGGGATGGGGGCATTATGAGATGGGGGCACCCATGGGATGGGGCATTGAGGGATGGGGGCACCCATGGGATGGGGGCATTGAGGGATGGGGGCACCCATGGGATGGGGCATTGAGGGATGGGGGCACCCATGGGATGGGGGCATTGAGGGATGGGGGCACCCATGGGATGGGGGCATTGAGGGATGGGGGCACCCATGGGATGGGGGCATTGAGGGATGGGGGCACCCATGGGATGGGGCATTGAGGGATGGGGGCACCCATGGGATGGGGCATTATGGGATGGGGGCACCCATGGGATGGGGGCATTATGGGATGGGGGCACCCTGGGAACACCCATGGGACGGGGGCACCCATGGGATGGGGGCATTATAGGATGGGGGCACCCTGGGAACACCCATGGGATGGGGGCACCCATGGGATGGGGGCATTATGGGATGGGGGCACCCATGGGATGGGGGCATTGAGGGATGGGGGCACCCATGGGATGGGGCATTGAGGGATGGGGGCACCAATGGGATGGGGGCATTATGAGATGGGGGCACCCATGGGATGGGGCATTGAGGGATGGGGGCACCCATGGGATGGGGGCATTGAGGGATGGGGGCACCCATGGGATGGGGCATTGAGGGATGGGGGCACCCATGGGATGGGGGCATTGAGGGATGGGGGCACCCATGGGATGGGGCATTGAGGGATGGGGGCACCCATGGGATGGGGCATTATGGGATGGGGGCACCCATGGGATGGGGGCATTATGGGATGGGGGCACCCTGGGAGCACCCATGGGATGGGGGCACCCATGGGATGGGGGCATTGTGGGATGGGGGCACCCGGGTACACCAATGGTATGGGGGCACCCATGGGATGGGGCATTATGGGATGTGCGATGGGGCATTATGGGATGGGGGCATTATGGGATGGGGCACTATATGATGGGGACACCCATGGGATGGGGTATTATGGGATGGGGGCGTTTTGGGATGGGACACTATGGGATGGGGTATTATGGGATGGGGACACCCATGGGATGGGGACATTATGGGATGGGGCATTATGGGATGGGGGCACCCATGGGATGGGGGCATTGAGGGATGGGGGCACCCATGGGATAGAGCATTATGGGATGGGAACACCGATGGGATGGTGGCATTATGGGATGGGGACACCCATGGGATGGGGGCATTATGAGATGGGAACATGCATGGGATGAGGGCATTATGGGATGGGGGTATTATGGGATGGGGGCATTGAGGGATTGGGGCACCCAATGACACCCATGGGATGGGGGCATTATGGGATGGCGACACTGGTGGGATGGGGCATTATGGGATGGGGCATTATGGGATGGGGACCCCCATGGGATGGCGACACTGGTGGGATGGGGCATTATGGGATGGGGGCATTATGGGATGGGGGCATTATGGGATGGCGACACTGATGGGATGGGATATTATGGGATGGGGCATTATGGGATGGGGGCACCCAAGGGATGGGGGCATTATGGGTTGGGGGCATTATAGGATGGCAACACTGATGGGATGGGGCATTATGGGATGGGGGCATTATCGGATGGCGACACTGATGGGATGGGGTATTATGGTATGGGGCATTATGGGAATGGGCCTTATGGGATGGGGGCATTATGGGATGGGGTATTATGGGCTGGGGCATTATGGGATGGGGACACCCATGGGATGGGGGCATTATGGGATGGCGACACTGATGGGATGGGGGCATTATGGGATGGGGGCATTATGGGAATGGGGTATTATGGGCTGGGGCATTATGGGATGGGGACACCCATGGGATGGGGGCATTATGGGATGGCAACACTGATGGGATGGGGCATTATGGGATGGGGGCATTATCGGATGGGGGCATTATGGGATGGCAACACTGATGGGATGGGGCATTATGGGATGGCGACATTATGGGATGGGGACCCCCCCGTTGTGTAGGGGGGGTTGGACGCGGCTCTCGCACCGTGGGCGCAGGCGGTGCCGGGGCCGCAGCCGCGGGTGCCGCAGTCGGGGCCGCTGAACCCGGGGAAGCATCGGCAGAGCCCGGAGCGGCAGCGGCCTTGGTCACTGCAACCCCCGGGGCATGGGGGGGGAGGGGAGGGGGGGTCCGGGGGGGGAGGGGAGGGGGGGGAGGGGCAGGAGCAGCCGTCAGCAGCGCTTGGGGGGCAGAGCTGGCGAGAGAGAGTGCGGCCTATGGGGGGGGAGGGGGAAAGGGTCACAGCGGAGAGATGGGGAACACAGAGACAGGGCCCATAATAACCACAGAGCCCATAATAACCACAGAGCCCATAATAACCACAGAGCCCATAATAACCACACAGCCATTATAACTGCAGACACTGTAATAACCCCGGACCCCATATCCCACACATCCCACCACCCCCCACCCCCTACTCCCTACCCCATCCCCCCTCCCCCCACACCCCCCCCCACACACCCCATACCCCACACACCATATCCCATATCCAATTGACCCCATGTCCCACACCCCACACCCCAATTCCCATACCCCATCCCACATCCCCCCCACCCACACCCCATCCCCCCATACCTCATACCCCATACCCCATTCCACATCCCCCATACCCCACATCCCATTCCACATCCCCCATACCCCACACCCCACACCTCATACCCCATATCCCATATCCAACAAACCAAACCCCATCCCCCACATCCCACATCCCATAATAACCCCACACCCCCACACCTCATACCCCATATCCCATACCCCATCCCCCACCCCCACACCTCACACCCCATATCCCATATCCAACACCCCATCCCCCACATCCCATACCCCATACCCTATACCCCACACCCCATATCCCATATCCCATATCCAACTCCCCATCCCCCACACCCCATACCCTACACCCCATCCCCCATCCCCCATACCCCACACCCCATATCCCACACCCCACACCCCATCCCCCGCACCCCACACCCCATCCCCCACATCCCACACCCCACACCCCATACCCCACACCCCATACCCTACACCCCATATCCCATATCCAACACCCCACATTCCACACCCCATACCCCATATCCTACACCCCACACCCCATATCCCATATCCCATACCCCATTCACCACACCCCACACCCCACACCCCATATCCCATATCCCATACCCCATCCACCACACCCCACACCCCATACCCCATATCCCATATCCCATACCCCATCCACCACACCCCACACCCCATACCCCATATCCCATATCCAACACCCCAAACCCCATCCCCCACACCCCACATCCCATAATAACCCCACACTCCACACCTCATACCTCATATCCCATACTGCATCCCCCACACCCCATACCCTACACCCCATACCCCATACCCCACAACCCACATCCCACACGCCATCCCCACACCCCACACCCCATATCCAACTCCCCATCCCCCACATCCCATACCCTACACCCCATCCCCCATACCCCACACCCCATATCCCATACCCCACACCCTATCCCCCACAGCCCACACCCCATGTCCCATACCCCCTACCCCATACCCCATCCCACATCCCCCATACCCCACATCCACACTCCATCCCCCCCACCCCACACCCCACACCTCATACCCCATACCCCATCCCCCATACCCCACATCCCATACCCCACACCCCATGTCCCATACCCCATACCCCACACCCCACACCTCATACCCCATACCCCATATCCCATACCCCACACCTCATACCCCATACCCCATATCCCATACCCCACACCCCATACCCCATACCCCATACCCCATACCCCATATCCCATACCCCACACCCCATATCCCATACCCCACACCCCACACCCCACACCTCATACCCCATACCCCATATCCCATACCCCACACCTCATACCCCATACCCCATATCCCATACCCCACACCCCATACCCCATACCCCATACCCCATACCCCATATCCCATACCCCACACCCCATATCCCATACCCCACACCCCATACCCCACACCCCATGTCCCATACCCCATACCCCACCCCCCATATCCCATCCCCCATCCCCCCCCCCCCCATCCTCCCCCCCCCCCACCCCATAGTACCCCCCCCATCCCCGTTACCGGTGCCCTCCTGGGGCCCGCCGCTCCCCCCGCACGCTCCCTGCAGCTCCCGCACCCTCCGCTCCAGCTCCCGCAGCCGCTCCAGGAGCTCCCCCAGGGCCGGGGCACAGCCGGGAGCGGGGCCGGGGCGGGGGGGGGTCCCCAAAGACCCCCCCAGGGCCATCGCCAGCAGCAGGAACAGAGCCGGGGCCATCGGCCTGGGGGGGGGACATGGACATGGGGGGGGTACAGTGGGGACATGGGGGGGACATTGGGGACGTGGGGGGACATTGGGGACATGGGGGGGACATGGACATGGGGGGGGGTACAGTGGGGACATGGGGGGGACATTGGGGACATGGGGGGGGGTACAGTGGGGACATGGGGGGGACATTGGGGACATGGGGGGACATTGGGGACATGGGCATGGGGGGGACAGTGACACACAGTGGGGGGGGGACGACACACAGAGCCCACCCACAGCCCCACATGTGCCCAGTGCCACCAGTGACTCCAGTCACACTGCAACCAGTCACACCAGTAACACCAGTACCACCTCCAGTACCACCAGTGACTCCAGTCACACTGCAACCAGTCACACCAGTAACACCAGTGCCACCTCCAGCGCTACCAGTGACTCCAGTCACACTGCAACCAGTCACACCAGTAACACCAGTGCCACCAGTGCCACCTCCAGTGCCACCAGTGACTCCAGTCACACTGCATCCAGTCACACCAGTAACACCAGTGCCCCCAGTGTCTCCAGTCACACTGAATCCAGTCACACCAGTACCACCAGTGCCACCTCAAGTGCCACCAGTGACTCCAGTCACACTGCATCCAGTCACACCAGTAACACCAGTGCCCCCAGTGTCTCCAGTCACACTGAATCCAGTCACAGCAGTACCACCAGTGCCACCTCAAGTGCCACCAGTGACTCCAGTCACACTGCATCCAGTCACACCAGTGCCACCAGTGCCACCAGTACCACCTCCAGTGCTACCAGTGCCTCCAGTAACCCTGCATTGAGTCACACCAATACCACCATTGCCACCAGTACCACCTCCAGTACCACCAGTGACTCCAGTCACACTGCATCCAGTCACACCAGTACCCCCAGTGCCACCTCCAGTACCACCAGTGACTCCAGTCACACTGCAACCAGTCACACCAGTACCACCAGTGCCACCAGTACCACCTCCAGTGCCTCCAGTGACTCCAGTCACCCTGCATCCAGTCACACCAGTAACACCGGTGCCCCCAGTGACTCCAGTCACACGGCATCCAGTCACACCAGTACCACCAGTACCACCTCCAGTGCCCCCAGTGACTCCAGTCACACTGCATCCAGTCACACCAGTAACACCAGTGCCACCTCCAGTGCCCCCAGTGACTCCAGTCACACTGCATCCAGTCACACCAGTAACACCGGTGCCCCCAGTGACTCCAGTCACACTGCATCCAGTCACACCAGTACCCCCAGTGCTACCTCCAGTGCCCCCAGTGACTCCAGTCACCCTGCATCCAGTCACACCAGTAACACCAGTGCCACCAGTACCACCTCCAGTGCCTCCAGTGACTTCAGTCACCCTGCATCCAGTCACACCAGTACCACCGGTGCCCCCAGTGACTCCAGTCACACTGCATCCAGTCACACCAGTAACACCAGTGCCACCTCAAGTGCCCCCAGTGACTCCAGTCACACTGCACCCAGTCACACCAGTACCACCAGTACCACCTCCAGTGCCTCCAGTGACTCCAGTCACCCTGCATCCAGTCAAACCAGTAACACCAGTAACAACTCCAGCACCACCAGTGATTCTAGCAGCACCAGCAACAGTGGCACCAGGAACACCAGTGACTCCAGTAACAGTGGCACCAGCGCTCCCAACCCCCTCCAGTCCCCTCCAGTGACACCAGTAACACATCAGTCATACCAGTGACACCAGTTAACATACCAGTAACACCAGTCACACCAGTAACACACCGGTGACACGAGTAGCAGCAATCACACAAGTAACACACCGGTCACACCAGTAACACACCAGTAACACCAGTGACACCAGTAGCACACCAGTGACACCAGTAACACCAGTGACACCAGTAACACCAGTAACACCAGTGACACCAGTAGCACACCAGTCACACCAGTAACACCAGTGACACCAGTAGCACGCCAGTCACACCAGTAACTGCAGTCACACCAGTAACACCAGTGACACCAGTAGCACACCAGTCACACCAGTAACACCAGTGACACCAGTAGCACACCAGTGACACCAGTAACACCAGTGACACCAGTACCACACCAGTGACACCAGTAACACCAGTGACACCAGTAGCACACCAGTCACACCAGTAACACCAGTGACACCAGTAGCACAACAGTCACACCAGTAGCACACCAGTCACACCAGTAACACCAGTGACACCAGTAGCACACCAGTCACACCAGTAACACCAGTGACACCAGTAGCACAACAGTCACACCAGTAGCACACCAGTGACACCAGTGACACCAGTAGCACACCAGTGACACCAGTAACACCAGTGACACCAGTAGCACACCAGTGACACCAGTAACACCAGTGACACCAGTAGCACACCAGTGACACCAGTAACACCAGTGACACCAGTAGCACACCAGTCACACCAGTAACACCAGTGACACCAGTAGCACACCAGTGACACCAGTAACACCAGTGACACCAGTAGCACACCAGTCACACCAGTAACACCAGTGACACCAGTAGCACACCAGTGACACCAGTAACACCAGTGACACCAGTAGCACACCAGTCACACCAGTAACACCAGCAGCACCAGTAAAAGCAGCCCCAGCCCCACAAGTACCTCCAGCAGCAGCAGCAGCAGCAGTGCTCCCAGTGCTCCCAGTGCTCCCAGTGCTCCCAGTGCCCGGCCCCACCCCTCCCCCCTGTTTACAGCTGCTGTTGCTGCAGCAACAAAACATCTGGGCGGGAGCCGCCAGATGTGGAGAGGCTGCTGGGGGGGAGGGGTGGGGGGAATAACACCAGGGATGTGACACAGAGATAACAACCCGTGATACCAGTGAGACACCAGTGATACCAGTGATACCAGTGATACCAGTGAGACACCAGTGATACCAGTGATACCAGTGATACCAGTGAGAAACCAGTGATAACAACCAGTGATACCAGTGAGACACCAGTGATAACACCAGCGATACCAGTGAGACACCAGTGATACCAGTAAGACAGCAGTGATAACAACCAGTGATACCAGTGAGACACCAGCGATAACACCAGCGATACCAGTGAGACACCAGTGATACCAGTGAGACACCGGTAAGACACCAGTGATACACCAGTGAGACACCAGTGAGACACCAGTGATAACCAGTGTTACACCAGTGATACCAGTGACACCAGTGTTACACCAGTGATACACCAGTGTTACACCATTGATACCCCAGTGATACACCAGTGAGACACCAGTGATACATCAGTGATAACCAGTGTTACACCAGTGAGACACCAGTGATACCAGTGATACCAGTGAGACACCAGTGAGACACCAGTGATACACCAGTGACTCCGGTGAGACACCAGTGATATATCAGTGATAACCAGTGTTACACCAGTGATACACCAGTGATACCAGTGTTACACCAGTGAGACACCAGTGATACCAGTGATACCAGTGAGACACCAGTGAGACACCAGTGATACACCAGTGATACCAGTGTTACACCAGTGAGACACCAGTGATACCAGGGAGACACCAGTGAGACACCAGTGAGACACCAGTGATACCAGTGAGACACCAGTGACACCAGTGAGACACCAGAGATACACCAGTGTTACACCAGTGATACACCAGTGATACCAGTGTTACACCAGTGAGACACCAGTGATACCAGGGAGACACCAGTGAGACACCAGTGATACACCAGTGACTCCGGTGAGACACCAGTGATATATCAGTGATAACCAGTGTTACACCAGTGATACACCAGTGACACCAGTGTTACACCAGTGAGACACCAGTGACACATCAGTCATAACCAGTGTTACACCAGTGATACCAGTGATAAACCAGTGAGACACCAGTGAGACACCAGTGACTCCAGTGAGACACCAGTGATATATCAGTGATAACCAGTATTACACCAGTGATACACCAGTGATACCAGTGAGACACCAGTGACACCAGGGAGACACCAGGGAGACACCAGGGAGACACCAGTGATACCAGTGAGACACCAGTGATACGCCAGTGAGACACCAGTGAGACACCAGTGAGACACCAGTGATATACACCACTGATACCAGTGAGACACCAGTGATACACCAGTGATACCAGTGAGACAACAGTGACACCAGTGAGAAACCAGTGATACACCAGTGATACCAGTGAGACACCAGTGATACCTCAGTGATAACAGTGATACCCCAGTGTTACACCAGTGATACCCCATTGATACCCGTGATACACCAGTGATACCCCAGTGATACCAGTGATAACACCAGTGTTACACCAGTGACACCAGTGACACCAGTGATACACCAGTGAGACACCAGTGAGACACCAGTGAGACACCAGTGAGACACCAGTGAGACACCAGTGATACACCAGTGATACCAGTGTTACACCAGTGACACACCAGTGAGACACCAGTGATACACCAGTGATACCAGTGATACCAGTGTTACACCAGTGACACACCAGTGAGACAACAGTGATACACCATTGTTACACCAGTGGTACACCAGTGATACAACAGTGATACACCATTGTTATACCAGTGAGACAACAGTGATACCAGTGAGACACCAGTGATACCTCAGTGATAACAGTGATACCCCATTGATACCCGTGATACACCAGTGATACCCCAGTGATACCAGTGATAACACCAGTGTTACACCAGTGACACCAGTGATACCAGTGAGACACCAGTGAGAAACCAGTGAGACACCAGTGATACCGGTGATACACCAGTGATACCAGTGATACACCAGTGAGACACCAGTGATACACCAGTGAGACACCAGTGTTACACCAGTGACACCAGTGATACCAGTGAGACACCAGTGAGACACCAGTGAGACACCCGTGTTACACCAGTGACACCAGTGACACCAGTGATACACCAGTGAGACACCAGTGAGACACCAGTGAGACACCAGTGATACCAGTGAGACACCAGTGATACCCCAGGGATACCAGTGA